CTGGAGCAGCTGGTTCAGGAGCTGCTAGGAAAGAGAACCACAGGAGCTGGAAGGGCTGGGCCAGTTCCTCTGCTGAGGGATGAGATTTTGGGGGTCTCTCCCTGGGGTTCAGATGTCTTTGATCACCTCTTCCAGCTCCTCTTTGGTGTACATGTGGAATTTCATCCCAGGCTCCACTGTGGCAAGCTGGAAGGGAAGGAATAAGGGGTTAATGTGGCTGAGAGCAGAGAGCAGCTGTTCCTTCTCCTGATCTGCCAACCCAGCAGGATCATTCCAGCCTGGAACAGGCTCTGTGATTCCCTAAAATAGCTGCCTGGCACAGAAATAGCTTTGGATTGACTCAGTCTCCTCCTAGGAGCAGCAGGAGGGAATGGTAGTGGGAACAGACAGGCTGGAGGGGGAAAAGGCATCAAACACTGCTAGAAGAGGGGAATTCCTGCCTCTCCAAGTGCCTCTTCTCCCCCAGGAATCAACCAAGGGGATAAATCCTGTTCTGTCTGAGAGCTGAGGGTTGGCTCAGGGAAACTGAGCATTCTGCAGGGAGATCTCCAAGGAAAAGCCCAAGGGATGAGGCTGGGGATAACACAGTGCCAGGGCAGGCAGCTCTGGCATTCCAGAGGCAGCAACAGGACAAGGGATACTGGACTGGCAAGGCTGGAAGAGGGATGGGAGGGATGAGGGTTCACACCTGGCTCAGGAATGAGAGCCCAACACACAGACAGATGTGCCAGTGGGAGAGACAAGGATCCAGGAGAGAGATGGGGTGCACTGGGAGAGAGCTGGGACAGGCAGGAGGGAGCTGGGATGCTGCAGGAAGGAACTGGGATGGGGCAGGAGTGAGCTGGGATGCCTTGGAAGGGAGCTGAGATGCCCTGGGAGGGTGCTGGGATGCTGCAGGAAGGAACTGGGATGGGCAGGAGGGAGCTGGATTGCCCTGGGAGAGAGTTGGGATGGGCAGGAGGGAGCTGGACTGCCCTGGGAGAGAGTTGGGATGGGCAGGAGGGAGCTGGGATGGGCCAGAGTGAGTTTGGATGGGCCAGGAGCAACCTGCAATGCTCCAAGAAGGAACTGGGATAGGGCAGGAGAGAGCTGGGATGTGGGAAATGGCCCAAAGCTCATCCCAGAGCTCCCACCACAGCCTTGGTTTCACCTGGAATTCTCAGACAAGGTGGAGACACTTGGGGATGCTACTTTAGGCCCTCAAATCATGAAATCCTGGAATAGTTTGGGATGAAAGAACCTTAAAGCTCATCCCATCCCACTCCCTGCCATGGGCAGGGACACCTCCCACCAGCCCAGGTTGCTCCAAGTCCTGTCCAAGCTGGAACACTCCAGGGATGAGGAATCCACAGCTCCTGTGCAGGGACTGAGCTGACCTTGGACCCAACCAGACTCAACAGGACCCAGATCCCCTAAAACCACCTAAAAATCCCCCAAATTCATCAATAAATCCCCCTAAACCATCACTCGGACACACCAAATCCTCGTTTTCCACATCCCAAACTTTTCCCTCACTTTCTCCCTACAACAGCTCCAATATTCTCTGAGAAGCTTCCCAGGTAAGTCTTGGAGGCTCCTGCCCCAGGAGGGAGCTGGTTCCAATGGATTTGACCCTTCCATGACCACACTTTCCCCTCCCTCTTTATTCCTAGATGGCAAATGCCACTGTAGAGTGGATAACTGGGAGCAGCACATCCTTCTAGGAAGCCAAGAGCCCTTCAAGGGGAGGATTTTCAGCCATGGGGTGAGTTGAGTCAATAGAAACCTTTGGATCCTCAGCACATTCCTGTCCTCGTTCCCCCTCTGGCACAATTCCAAGCCCTCCTCCCCATTCCAGGGCTGTGCCAAGCACAGTTAAGCCCTGTTAAAAAAGGGATATGACATCAGGATACTGTACACATTCCTCTCCCTCACACTGTACTAGGAGATTCCAGGAGAAAACTGATGGATGGGAGCTGGGAGAGCACCTGGGAAGGAGATTCCAGCTGGGTAATACCAGTTTGGGACATAGTATCCAAGTTTTCCTGTGCTTTTTGGCTTTCTCCTCTGAAAGGAATCCTGTCAATCCCACTAGGAATGCTCCCGAGCAGGAATACTGAATAAAAAATGGGATGCACACCTTGAGGCTGTTAAGAAAAGGATTCCCAGTGTCCAGAAGGAAGGAATGGGAGCAGAGAGAGGCTCAGGAGTTGGAATGCTAAGGCCTGGAAAGCTTTGGTGTTTCATATCCCACCAGAAATAGAAGCAAACTCTATTCCCCAGCCTGAAATCACCTCCCTGCTATCCCAAACCACGGAGGATCTGGGAATTCCACATCCATAGAGGAGCCTAAGGAGGTTTGGGGAGATTGGATCCTCCAGTCTGGGGGTTCTGCCTGCTCCAGGAGCAGAGCCATTCCTGCAGGATCAGCTCCCACTCCTGCCAGCCCAGGGATTCCTGGCTGCATCCCAGGCCTGATTTAGCACTCAGGAATTGGATGATGTTCATTCCTTCTACTATTACAGGCAGGAGGGCAAGGAAGAATGGCTAAAGCCAGGGAAAAAGGGATCCAGGTGCCACTCCAGGTCCCTGCTGACAGGGGAAGGGCAGAGAATTCCCTGTGCTAAGCACGGATTAGGCAGGGAAACACAGCAGGATGAGCAGCTCTGGAAAGGGAAAACCTTCCATGTTCCCAAAGTGTCCCACAGAAGGTGGTGGAAAGAGAAGGAACAGAAGGTAAGGGGAAGGAAGCCTGAAGAAGCAGCAGGAACACATCATGGAATATCATGGAAGGGGCAAGAACACATCAGGGAAGGAGCAGGAACCCCATGGAACCTCAGGGAAGGGGCAGGAACTGCGTGGAAGGGGCAGGAACATACCAGGAAAGGTGCAGGAACCCCAGGAAACCTCATGGAAGGCAAAGGAATCCCAGGGAAGGAGCAGGAACACATCAGGGAATATCATGGAAGGGGCAGGAACAGTAGAGAAGGGGCAGGAACACATCACGGAATATCATGGAAGGGGCAGGAACAGCAGGGAAGGGGCAGGAACACCATGGAAGAGGCAGGAACAGCAAAGAAGGGGCAGGAACACATCAGGGAAGGGGCAGGAACACATCAGGGAAGGGGCAGGAACACATCAGGGAAGGAATGCGGGAAGGGGCAGGAACACATCAGGGAAGGGGCAGGAACACATCAGGGAAGGGGCAGGAACACATCAGGGAAGGGGCAGGAACACACCAGGAAAGGGGCAGGAACACCAGGGAAGGGGGAGAAATCCTGCATCAGGCAGCTGCTGGCTCGGGAAGCTCCCGAGCTGCTCCATTCCCTGCTCCAGGAGCAATCCTGCCTGCAGGAGGCCTCACCTCGATGTTGGTGGCGTTGAGCTTCTCCTCCATGACCTGCTTGAGGATGACCAGGGAGGATTTGATGGCTTCCTTCAGCGTCATGGACTGCAAAACAAGTCTGGATCAGGGTGGGAGGCTTGGGATGAGGCTCCTCTCCCTCCCCTTGCCCAAATCCCTTCAGCCAAGCAGCCAACGGAGCAGCTTAGCCAGGGATCTGCAACATCCCCAGGAGATCTCAGGCCTGGGCACATCCTGCTCTCTGGGTCCTCTTCATTTGGCCACATCCAATCCCACTGAGGGATTGGGATATGAGGAGATGTTTCCCTGCAATTTCCACCCTCAAAATCCAGATTCCCTCTAGGCAGAAGCTTCTGGGCTCTCTTTAATCCCATTTAATTCCTATCTAATGACAAATCTGACCCAAATTTCCACCATGGAAAATAACTTTGTACTTGCAAGAGGATTGACAGGAGAATTAGGATAATTCCAATGGATAAATGAGTATTCTCAGCCTGAATTGTGCATTCCATGAGGGTCTGGTGTCTCTCCACACAAACCAGACACTTCCCTCTTCATGAGGTGAAAAAATCTCTATTTAATGGCAAATCTGTCCCAAATTTCCAGCATGACACCTAACCTTGCACCTGGAAAAGGACTGGCAGGAGAAATTGCCTAATTCCAGTAGAAAAAATGCGTGTTTCCAGCCCTAATTGTGCTTTCCATGAGGGTTTGGTATCACACCACACAAACCAAACACTTCCAGCCCTGTGGGGGGGGTGAAAAAAATCCTATTTAGTAGCAAATCTGACCCAAATTTCCTTCATATAAACTAATTTTGTATCTAGATGAGGATTGACAGGAGAATTGTGATCGTTCCAATGGATAAATGGGTATTCCCAGGCCTAACTGTGCTTTCCATGAGGGTTTGGTGTCTCACCACACAAACCAAACACCTCCCTCTTCATGAGGTGAAAAAATCCCTATTTAATGGCAAATCTGTCCCAGATTTCCACCATGGAAACTAACTTTGCACCTGGAAGAGGCTCAACAAGAGAACTTGGATAATTCCAATGGATAAATGAGTTTTCCCAGCCCTAACTGTGCTTTCCATGAGGATTTGGTGTCTCACCACACAAACCAAACACTTCCCTCCTCATGAGGTAAAAAAAATCCCATTTTGACAGCAAACCTGCCCCAAATTTCCAGCATGGAAGTTGTTCCCTTCCCTGGCCAAGCAGCTGAGGGCACTGATAGGATCTCCCTGTGTTTGCAGCTGCATCCACATGGATCCTGATGCCAACAGCAGCACTTGGAGCTCTGAGTTATTTATAGACCTCTTCCTACATGGTCCTAATTACCCCCAAGGGGCCACAAGGTGCTGGGAGTAACTTCACTCCTCATCGTAGAGCTCCTCAGCACTGCCAGCTACTCCCAGGATGCAGTGCCAAGGGCTGATCCAGCCCTGAGCAGCTCCAAGTCATGATCCTCATGGAATTTCTCCCTCTGAGGGGATGCTGGAGGGTGCTGAGGTGTCCCTAAGCCTCCAGGTGTGACCCCAAACCCTCCCAAAATCCAACCCTTACCTTGTGGTAAACCTCTTGCAGGGAGCTCTGGGCTCCCTCGGAGGCAGAGCCGATGGCTCTGGCATCACACTGCACGAACGTTCCCGAGGGATCCATGTGGAACCTGTGGGGATACAGTGGCACCAGCTCTCCCCAAGGGTTCTCCCAGCAGTTTCCTGCATGGATGGAGCTGAAATTCCTCCCCCGAGGAGCTCCAGGCTCACACCACACTGCCCTGTGCTCAAAGCTGCCTCATTTCCCTTTGGATTTGCCCCTTATCCTGATTTTTTTTTTTCCTCAATCCACCAAGTTTTCCCTGCTGTGGCTCTGCCAAGCCCTTCCCACCTCCAGTGGGGCTGTTTGAATCTCCAAGTTCAGGTTACAGGAGCTCCACCACCTCCCCCAGGAATGTCACAGGGATTATGTTACTGTGGCTCTGCTGCTGCTTTAGGGAAAGGTAAGGAGAGACTCAGGATAAGGAGAACTTGAACACCTCCCTCCTGCCCAGGAAACCATGTTTGACAGAAAAAAAAAAATCAAGGATTTAGGGAAGAGATGATGTCTTTTCCATGCCAAACAGGCAGGAAGGGCTCAGGGAAGGGTTTAGGGAAGGGTTTCCCATGCCAAACAGGCAGGGAACACTCAGGGAAGGGCTTAGGGAAGGGTTTTTAAGGGAAGAGACGGTGTTTTTTCCATGTCACACAGGCAGGAGGGGTTCAGGGAAGGGTTTTCCATGCCAAACAGGCAGGGAGGGCTCAGAGAAGGATTTTTTTAGGGAAGATAAAGGTGTCTTTTCCATGCCAAACAGGCAGGAAGGGCACAGGGAAGGGCTTAGGGAAGGGTTTTCCATGCCAAACTCCAGGGAGGGCTCAAGGAAGGGTTTTTTAGGGAAGAGATGGTGGGTTTTTTCCATGTCAAACAGGCAGGGAGAGCACAGGGAAAGGTTTAACAGCATCAAGGAACACATCAGGTTCATAATGGGATAAACCCTGAGGGTTTGGCCTAAGGGAAATCCTAGAACTATGTTGTTCCCACATCCTGGGAAGTTTTCAAGTAGAGGTTTGGTGTTTTCCCCTCGGATTACAGAGCACAACTCACAGCTGAGGTCCTTTCTCATCCACTCCTCCGAAGAGCAGAGCAACACCGAATGGGCGGGACTGGGAGGGAAAGGAGGCACAGGTGAGGTCAGGGAGGACCCAAAGAACCCCCAAAACACAGAGCACCCCTAGAGCACCCCCAGATCCTCACCATAGCCCCAGGGTCAGCATCCTCCTCCCCAAATTGCAGGGCCAGGTTGGACACAGCTTGGGTCACACTCTCCACCGTCATCGTCTCGTTGTAGGTGAACCAGTGATTCTGTGGGGAAAAGGCAGCGAAAAATTCTAGTTATCTCTCTGATCCCACAGATCTGACACTCCTGGATGGGTGAGGAAAGGGGTGGAATGATATCCTCATGTCTACCCAGGGTAACTTCTCCATGGAGCTCTGGGCACAGCTTGTTGTCCTGTGAAGCATCAGGAAGGGAGTGGAAAGCCCAGAAATCCTCCCAAAATCTTGGGATAACAGAGCCAAGAGGGAAATTCAAGGCTAGAGAGCTTAATCTCAGCATCTGTTTAGGAAGCAGTGTGTTACCCAGCTCTCCAGAAGCTGCAAAAGTGCTGATATGCAAGAAAACCCCCTCAGGAAAAGCCTTTCTTGCAGCCTCTGAGGCACATGGAATTTCAAGGGATAAACAAGCAGCAATATAAGGACTATTTAGCCAAAACAGAGTCAGACACAGCCCTGAGATTCCCAGCAAACCTCCCACTTTCCAACAGCTCCTTTGCTGGAATGATGTGGCCTTGCCTAGCACTTCCAAGTGCCGATGGAACACTGTGCTGAGGGCAGGAATGTGAGTCCTTACCTGAGTCTCCACTCTGGCCTTATCAATCAGAGTCTTGGCATCAGCTATCAGACCACTCATGGCACACCCTGGAATGGCAGAAGGGAAGCAGGAGTCATTCCAGACATTATTTGGGATGTCTCTTCCCCCAAAACTCCCCAGGGTGAAGGACAAAGGGCTGCAGAGAGGGAGAGGGGGATGTGTCCCTCAAATCCCAGAGGAAGGTTTGGGTCCCTCAGGATGACAAGGACATGGAGGGGATGGAGTGTGCTGGGAAGGGGTTGAAGCAGCAGGAGAAGGGTCTGGAGGATTCCTGAGGGAGCTGGGGTAGGGCTCAGCCTGGAGAAATGGAGGCTCAGGGGGTCCCCAAGGGGACAGGAGGTGCAGCCAGGTGGGATCTGCTCCCAGGGAACAACAGGAGCAAGAGGAAACAGCCTCAAGTGGCACCAGGAGAGGTTCAGGATGGATATTGGGAACATTCCTAGATGGAAAGGGCTGTCCAGCCCTGGCACAGCTGCCCAGGGCAGCGTGGAGTCACCAGCCCTGGAGGTGTCAGTCCCATGTGGATGTGGCACTTGGGACATGGTCAGTCTTGGCCTTGGCAGTGCTGGGAAGGGTTGGACCCAGTGGGCTCAGAGAGCTTTTCCAGCCTGAGCAATTCCCTGATTCCAAGGTGAAACAAACCCCTCCTGGTGCACTGTTTGGCTCCCAGAGGCCTCCAGCCCACACAGTGTGCCATGTGCCACCAACCACCTCCTCACCTATCCCTGCACCTGCAGCACTCCCTGTGTGCCCTTCCCCCACAGCATCCTGAGTCCTGCCCCTGTGGTATCTGTGGGGAGGGGACACATCCCAGGGGTCCCTCCCTGTGTCCCTGCTGTCCCACCCGTGCTCCCTTCCTCCAGCAGCATCCCAAATCCTGACCCTGTGGGTGTCTGTGATGAGGGGACATGTTCCTCCTGTGTCTCCCCTGTGTTCCTCATGTCCTCTCTGTGTCCCACCTGTGTTTCCTTCCTGCATCAGCATCCCAAATCCTGACCCTGTGGGTGTCTGTGGGGAAGGGACACATCCCAGGTGTCCCTCCCTGTGTCCCTCCTGTCCCCACTGAGCTCCTTTCCTCCACAGTATCCTGAATCCTGACCCTGTGGTGCCTGTCACAAGGGGATATGTCCCAGCTGTGTACCCTGTGCTCCCTTCCTCCATCAGCTCCCTGAATCCAGACCCTGTGGGTGTTTGTGGTGAGAGGACATGTCCTTTCTGTCCCCCCCTGTCCCCACTCTGTTCCCTGTGTCTCCCCATGTGTCCTCTTTCTCCACCACCATCCTGAATCCTGACCCTATGGTGGGAGGACACATGGATGTGATACTCCACCCAGCTGTGTACCCTGTGCTCCCTTCCTCCATCAGCTCCCTGAATCCAGACCCTGTGGGTGTTTGTGGTGAGAGGACATGTCCTTTCTGTCCCCCCCTGTCCCCACTCTGTTCCCTGTGTCTCCCCATGTGTCCTCTTTCTCCACCACCATCCTGAATCCTGACCCTATGGTGGGAGGACACATGGATGTGATACTCCATGGTCAGTGCAGTGGTGGCCTTGGCACTGCTGAAGGAATGCTTGGACTCCATGATCTCAGAGGGCTTTCCCAACCTGAACAATTCCATGACTCCATGGGATTGCAGAAGATTTGTTCCAGAGCTCCCTGTCGGGAAGAGCTTCCCAGCAGCCCCCAGCACAGATCCTGCACCAGGGAGAGCAGAACTGCACCACAAGCATCCAGGGAGGAGGAAATTGGACTCTTGGAGCTGCTCCCACCCCACTGGCAGCAGGACCGTGGGGGTCTGGGAGGTCTCCTGCCTTTCAGGTTGACATATTTGGTCATGAGCCCATCAGGGCCCCTCAGGGCACGGGTGGCTCAGGGCACCAGTGCTCCCTCCTGGAGCAACTGGCCTGGACTCAACTCTGCCGTAATTCCCTGCCCTCCCAGGGCTAAATTTGGGATAAGCCTTCATGAGGGAGGTCACTGAGGCAGGGAGAGAGCTTCAGCTGCCTCTTCCTGCCTCCTGGAGCTATGTCCTGCTGGCTTGGAGCCTGGAAAACCAGTGAGCAGGAGGAGCTGGTGTGCATTGGGAGGGATGAGCTGTTCATCCCAAGGTTCAGCTTCCCAAACTCCCAGGGGATGGAATTCAAAGGGAACTGTCCCAGAGGAGTCTCCAGAGGTGAGTCCTCCCTCCTCACCTATGTGGGAGTCGATCTCCACAATCTTCTCGATGCTGCTGGGCTCCATCAGGGGAGAAGTGATCCTCTTCTCCACAGCCAGGCACACTCCTTCCGACGTCTGGATCCCAATGGCTGTGGAGCCGAGCTGGGAAACACCCACACAGCCTCCAGCTTACACAAATATCCACAGAGATCCACAGGAATCCACAAATATCCACACATATCCACAAATAATCCACCATTTTCCACAGACACGCACAGATATCCACAATTTTCCACAAATATCCACAATTAATCCACCATTTTCCACAGATATGCACAGATATCCACAATTTTTCCACAAATATCCACGATTTTCCACATCTCAAAGCTCTTTTTGGTTTGGATTCAATCCCATCTCCCACATACAATCCCACTCTGCAGTGTCACCACCATGGACACCAGGATAGCTGAGGGAGGGAACAGGTCTCAGGGCTCCTGGCAGGCCCTGCCTGGATTCCACCAATCCCTGTCTTCATCCCACCAACACTCACCTTGATCCTACCTTGATCCACCAATCCCTGCCCTGATTCAGCCCTGATCCTATCAACCCCTGCATTGATCCCTCAAATCCCTGCCTGGATCCCACCAGTCTTGATCCTACCAGTCCCTGCCTTGATCCTACCAAGCCCTGCCTTGATTCCACAAATCCCTTCCTTATCCCACCTTGATCCTACCAACTCCTGCCTTGATCCCACCAACACCCACCTTGACCTTACCTTGATCCCACCAGACTCGATCCTGCCTTAATCCCACCAGCCCCTGCCTTGATCCCACCTTGATCCTAACTTGATCCTGCCTTGATTCCACCTTGTTCCTACCCTGATCCCACCACCACCTACTTTGATTCCACTTTGATCCCATTAGCCTCTGCCTTGATCCTACCAAGCCCTACCTTGACCCCACCAATCTCTCCAATGATCCCACAAATCCATACCTTGATCCCACCACACCATACTTTGATCCCACCAACCTCCACCTTGATCCCACCAGCTCCTGCCTTGATCCCAACCCCCACCTTGACCATACCTTAATCCCACCAGCCCCTACCTTGAGCCCACCTTGACCCTGCCTTCATCCCACCTGGATCCTCCCCTGATCCCACTAACCCCTGCCTTGATCCCATCAGTCCCTACCCTGATTCCACCAACCTGTCTTGATCCCACCAACCTCCACCTTGATCCCAAAAATCCCTGTCTTCATCCCACCTTGATCCTACCAGCTCCTGCTCGATCCCATCTTGAAGCCACTACCAGCACCTACCTTGATCCTACTAACTCCCAACCTTGATCCCACCTTGCTCCCAGGAGCCCCTGCCTTGCTCCCACCTTGCTCCCAGCACCCACATCTTCCCCACCCCATGGAATTTCCCAGGATAACTGCCCCAGTTGCAGTCCCAACATCCACATCAGGCCATGGGTTTAATTTCAGCCCCAAGACTCCCTGGAAAACTGCAGCTCCAGCCTGACAGGGATCTGTATCTTCATTCCTTTACCCACATCCCCCAGGGAGCTTTTATTCCCAAATCCATGATAATTTTACTACTTTCCTTACATTTTTTGTTCCTCCTTTTAGTGCTCCAAGAAACCAAAGCAGCACAGGGAAGATGAAACCAGGATCTTACTCTTCCCTAAATCCAAACACCTCAGAGCTTTGCCTTGAGCTGTTCCTTCCACATTTAAGCTTATTCCCAGAACAACTCCCACAGGAATATTTATCAGTTGAGGACATTTAAGCCCCAAAAGGCCCTTCAGAGGTGAATTTGCTCCTACCAACCTTCACCTCCAGCTTTGAAATCCATCTGAGGAAGTTTTAGATTGGATTTGGGGATAAACATTTTGGGATTGGGTTTGGTTTGGGCATAAATCACTTGGTAGGACACAGGGAAGGAACATCCCCTGAATTTGGGGGAGAATCCATGGGATTTGGTCCTTAGTGATCCATAGAAGAACAGAGCCATAGGATGTCAGGCTGGATCAGTCCTAACCAGCCCAGGGTTTGGGGGGGTGAAGGAGCCCCAAGTGTCACAGCAGGACAGAAGTGACAGTACCTTTATGGCCTCAATGGCATATTCCACCTGGAAGAGTCTTCCCTCGGGAGAGAAGGTGTTCACTCCCCTGCAAGGGCAAGGACAGCATAGTGAGGAGGGCAGGGAAGGAGTGAGGCCACCTGGGGACACAGGGAGGGACACCTGGGAGGTGTTCTCTCCCCACAGGGTCAGGATTTGGGATGCTGCTGGAGAAAGGAAACACAGAAGGGACATAGGGGAGACACAGGGGGGACAGCTAGGACATGTCCCCTCATCACAGACACCCACACGGCCAGGATTTGGGATGCTGATGGAGGAAGGAAACACAGGGTGGGACACAGGGGAGACATAGGGAACAGAGTGGGGACAGGAGGGACATGTCCCCTCACCATAGACACCTGCAGGGTCTGGATTCAGGATGCTGTGGAGGAAGGGAGCACAGGTGGGACATGGGTGACACATCCCCTCACCACAGACACCCACTGGCTCAGGACTCAAGATGCTGTGGAGGAAGGGAACACAGGTAGGACACAGGGAAGACAGGGGTGACACAGGGGAGACACAGGACGGGACAGGAGGAACATGTCCCCTCATCACAGACACCACAGGATCAGGATAGAGGATGCTGATGGAGAAAGGGAGCACAGAGGGGACAGGAGGGACATGGGAGACACAGGGGAGACACAGGAGGGGACAGAAGGGACATGTTCCCTCACCACAGACACCTGCAGTGTTTGGATTCAGGGAGCTGATGGAGGAAAGGAACACAGGGGACACACAGAGGGAACAGGAGGAACAGGTGCCTCACCACAGGCACCCAGTGGGGACAGGAAGGATTCAGAGGGGACACCTGGGATATGTCCCCTCCCCACAGACACCCACAGGGTCAGGATTCAGGGTGCTGTGGAGGAAGGGAACACAGGTGGGAGACAGGGAGGACATGGGGAACACAGGGGAGACACAGGAGGAACATGTCCCCTCATCACAGACACCCACAGGGTCAGGATTTGGGATGCTGCTGGAGGAAGGGAGCACGGGTGGGACAGCAGGGACACAGGGAGGGACCCCTGGGATGTGTCCCCTCCCCACAGATACCACAGGGGCAGGACTCAGGATGCTGTGGGGGAAGGGCACACAGGGAGTGCTGCAGGTGCAGGGATAGGTGAGGAGGTGGTTGGTGGCACATGGCACACTGTGTGGGCTGGAGGCCTCTGGGAGCCAAACAGTGCACCAGGAGGGGTTTGTTTCACCTTGGAATCAGGGAATTGCTCAGGCTGGAAAAGCTCTCTGAGCCCACTGGGTCCAACCCTTCCCAGCACTGCCAAGGCCAAGACTGACCATGTCCCAAGTGCCACATCCACATGGGACTGACACCTCCAGGGCTGGTGACTCCACGCTGCCCTGGGCAGCTGTGCCAGGGCTGGACAGCCCTTTGCATATAGGAATGTTCCCAATATCCATCCTGAACCTTCTCCGAGGTTCTCTCTCGTTCCCTGGGAGCAGAGCCTGACCCCACTTGGCTGCACCTCCTGTCAGGAGGTGGATAGAGCAGAAGGTTCCCCTGAGCCTCCTTTTCTCCAGGCTGAGCCCACACAGCTCCTCCTGCTGCTCCTCAGCCCCATTCCAGGACACACTCCTTCCTCTGGATCCCTCACCTCATCCCATCCCACCCCATTCCCAACCACGTGTGTGCTCCCCGGTCCGCAGCCTTCCACACGGGGCCCGAGCAACACCC